CCACGTGACACTCACACAGCTCGTCTACCACGTGATACACACACAGCCCTTCTACCACGTGACACCCATAAAGACCGCCTACCACGTGACCCCCACACTGCCCGTCTACCACGTGACACCCGCAAAACTCGTCTATCACGTGACATCCACACACACCCCGTCTACCACGTGACACTCACAGAGAACGTCTACCACGTGACACTCACATAGCCCGTCTACAACGTGGTACCCACACAGCCAGTCTACCTTGTGACACGCACACACCCCGTCCACCACGTGACACTCGCACAGTACGTCCACCACGTGACACTCGCACAGTACGTCTACCACGTGACACTCACACAGCCCGTCTATCACGTGACACCCACACAAACCCCGTCTACCAAGTGAAGATAAAATTGGGGCAATGAGGTTACACTTTAAACTGTCTTCGTATCTTCAAGTGGGCAATAAATTTAAGAGGTATTGATCTTGAGTGTGTCAGCTTTGAGTGAAACTGCAATTTCTGCTGTGAGCATTTCATGAAATGCTTTCAATATTTTCTTGATGAAAAAACCCATGGGAAATAACTAAAAAAATATAAACTAAACACAATGGAAAACGGATTGATATACCTGTAGTCAAAAATTGAAGGTAATATCTGTTCCTAAGATGAATGAAATTTTTATTTTATTGCCCCAAAAGACCTGGGTGTCATTATTTGACTATATCTGACAAAAATGGAGGTGTGGAGGGTAGTTTTTAGAGGAATCCGTCTAGATCAGGCTAGGCCTGGTAGTGGTGATTGTTATGATTAAAATAAGAAGATTAAAGAAACTGGCAAGTAGTGCTTAAAACCTTTAATTAAATACCTTAACAGAATCTTATAGTATACCATGTCGATGGTAAATTTATCTTAAAAATTCAACCCATTATATGTTTTACGTTATCCACCTTATTACGATAGTCTGCATCACGATTGACTGTTGAGCTGAAATAGAAAACAAAGAAAACGTCTTACTCTATATTTATATAAATATATGAAAAATTAATAAATTCACGTAAAGATAAGGACCTTCCTCTTATCAATAGGTTGTTAGAACGGCATTTAACCCTCTTGGTGCTATTTTTAGAATTGCTCATCATAAGTTCAGGACAAAACGTACAGCCAATCGGGAAACGTCTTGAACAAATATGGGTTTGTGAATGGGCGGCCGCCGACAGAAAGATCTTGTACTTCTCAAAGTTCATTTTCAGGGTTTTAAATTTACTTTTAGTAGAAATATGTCAAAAAAAAGGAAAGCAGAATCGTCTTTTGCTTTATATTTTATAAGTTATATAAGAAAAATCGGCGAAATGACACAAAGGATAAGAATCTGCTCTCACTGTTTATTCTTCATATTAGCGTGCTCCAGAGGATATTGGCAAATATCATGAAGAAATGAAATAAACGATTTTCCAAGCTTTTTACTACGTGTAAACCCTCCCTCCACCAAAGAAATCAATTCCCTCTACGTTCCTTTTCCTCSTCAATTGTTGTGTTTACCTTTAATAGTATTTGCACCCATACAGCTCCATTCTCATACAAATGTGACGATACCATGTCTTGACTACTACCCTGATGTACCTGGCATAAATCGGGGGATTTAGATTATGCTTGACAACGGTGTGTCTGTCACTGTTTCCTTTGAACACTTTTCCTCCCTGGTATTTCTTGAAGGTTTTGCCATTGTTGCTGTATTGCAGGGTGTAG